GAGATGGAAGGGCAGGAAAGGTTGGAAGAGGGGAGAGAGGGGAGGGGGAATAAGGAGGAAAGGTAAGGAGAGACGATGTTAAAGATCCCTTGGTGGTCCAAAATCGATAACAGTAGGCTTCGGGCGCCACCCAAGCAAAACTCCAAATTTCCTACCAACTGAAAATGTTTGGTGTGTCCCACACACTTGTATGACCCTATGCAGTTGCGAGCGCCATAAAACACTACCAAAAAAAAAGAAAAAAAAATCTTCTCCTACATGTTATATTGCACTTTATATAAAAGTCTTCTTGACCCAAAATGCATTAGACAATGATTCATAAATTCTGAGTTGTTACTCGCATGCTAACATGGGGTCTGAAAAATCCAAAATGTTTTTTTTGGTGGCCAGTTGACACCTCTGACTTCTCTTTACTCGAACAGATTTAAACTCTAAAGAGACGATTGACTTGGTTAAGTCACTTTTTCGCAGCATCTGGTCATTATTGTAACGGTGTTGTGTCATAATTGAATACTTGTGCTTTTATTTACTCAAACAAATGAATAATGGTGTCTCTCTTTGTGTGTGTGCATGCATGCGTGCGTGTGTTTAAACAGTCTTTTTTTGACCTTACTGTGTTACAAGTGCCGTAAAACACTTACTGAAATGACTCACACAGAGCCTGGAGCGTGTGATGATGAGTGCGCGGGAACCCCTGGAGTGGCACTTCAAACAGCTGGACCACGACATGGGCCTCAGCTTCCAGACCAACTTTAACTTTGCCCTGGTTGGACACTTGTTGAAAGGTCAGTCCACTCCTCCCTTCTCGTCAGTCCACTTCTTTCCTTATCAGTCCCACCTCCCTCCTCGTCAGTACAGTTCTTTCCTTATCAGTCCCCCCTCCCTCCTTGTAAATCCGCTTCCCTCCTCACCAGTCCCCCTATCCTCCCAGTCGTCCTCCCCTTCCTCCCTCTCCCTCTCAATCTCATTTCCCTTTCCTTCCTCGCACACCCCGGGGCGGTGCTACTGACAGAAGTTGTCTCTTTAGGCCATCCCCAAAGGGAGGATATCTATCTATCTATCTATCTATCTATCTATCTATCTCTCTATCTCTCTATCTCTCTATCCTGTTCTTATGCACATTTATCAATGTCATGCTCATACTGGGCCGGAACAACATAGGGAAGACTTCTGCTTTTTCTTTTCTTCTCCATATTATCGTCAT